CCCCAAAACCCCAAAACCCCAAAACCCCTTTTAGGGTTCGTAGTATTGAAAGTATTTTGATTAGAGTAGAAACATTGAAGTATATCTTCTCATTATACTCTTAGTATGCTTTTTGGTGCTTTGGTCTGACTCACAAGGTGTGACCTGAGTTAGGTCCCCTCTGATTCCTCTGACCGGACTCAGATGACTAATAGTAATCCCACTATCAGTATTTTTAGCTTTCCCTTTAGCTTTGCTGATAATATTCTCGATCTTAATTGACTTAGAGATTTCATTTAGAGAGACCTCGGACTTCTTAGGATTTTTGAATACCTTCTCCTTCTTTGTCTTCTTGTTAGATAGGCTTACAAAATCTCCACCCAAGATCTTGTTAAAATTTATAGGCTTATAGTGCTTCTTGAAGAAATCAACTGTGATTTGATGCTCTTTCTCTTCATTCTTCAGCTCAAGAGCAGTCTTCCCTCTAGGAGAAGGTAAATCCTTATCATTTATCTGAGAAATAGGTGTTTGTTGCCGGATCAGTGGAGCTTTCTTGTTAAGAACAGCTTCTCTATAAATCTTCTCAACTGGTTTGTACTTCTCGTGTTTTACAAACTTCGTTATCCTAGAAAATAATAGGGAATCTTACAAAGAAAGCTTTCTGAATAAACCAGAAGCCTTTCCAGCTGCTTCCTTCTTTCTAGCTCTTGGGGATTTCATTACGCTTGGTAGTATCTTGTTAGTCCCTGTTTTCTTTAATGTATTTGTATAGAGTAAAGGAGTCTCTAAGATAATAGTCCTGAGCTTTATAAAAGATGGATCTGAGTATAAGCTTTCTACACTTTCGAGCTCAAAATATAACTTGCTTTCTTTAGTAACTATGTATAAACAAATCAAGGTTACTTGGGTAATTGAATTTTCGCTTAGATATACTTGAGTATACCTTCCGAATATTCGAAGTATTTGGCTCATAACTTCCATTTAGCCATCTTGAATGATAGTACTTAGACTTTTCAATGTTACCAAGGTAGAAGTATCTGAGAAGTTAGAGGGGTAGCTTACTGTACGCCGAGGTAGTCAAAAGCTCTTGCTTCTTGGAATTTGTCTTCCATTTTCCATGATGTTTCAAGTAGCTTCTTGAAACATCTCACTGCTTTATTTATACTCCTTCAAGTGTTGGTATCAAAGGCCCATTTCAGTATAAACATGGCATTTAAGAATATTATCTTTAGTTGCTTCAACTATGTTTCGCAAGTATTGATAATGTAGGAGAGCTTCTCGGGGATTCCCTTTGTCTACAAAGACACAGCCTGCTAAAAAATGAGCTTTCTTCAATGAATCAAGGTCAGAGGCTGTGAGAGAAATCTCTATTATCGAATGTATCTTCATAATGCAAGTCTCATACTGCTCTTTATCAAGAAGTTCTCTTGCAGTAATTAGGTATTCCCTGGTGATATTCCTGTATTTCAAAATAAGAACTTTAAGGTCATTTTCTAGGGTAGAAACCTCAGCCTGGCTAGGCTGATAATAACTGCGAAGGTTTTCTCTCTGAAGAAGTTTAGAGTAAATAGCCTCAACTTCCTTACTTCTCTACTGCAGCTTTTGATTTTAGCAGGTTTTTAGAACTAACCAACCACTTATTCTTTCTAAAAGGTTAGGCTTTGATTACTGCAGTTGAGGAATTTCAAAGTTTGTTCTGGGCGTTCCTTGTGTCTTGAATATAGTATCCATGATATTCTCTGAAGAAAGATGAGTTAAATCCCAACACCAATTGACTACTCAAACCAAATTTGTTGCAACAAAGAAGTTTTATAACATTTCATGAGTCTTGATTGAATTTCTAGAGGTCATCCTGTTGTAAAATTTGTGAAATTTTGACAAGCAGGCAAAAGAATTATACTAAATTATTACAATAAAAGTAAATAATGTCAAAAAGTTTATCTAACTATCTTGGGAATCAGATCATGAAAGTTTTATTTATTATGGCTAACTTCATTAATTATTTTTTAGAAGCTTACCTTGCTTGCACAAGTCCATTACAAAATCAGACTTAGCATTAAGCATAGTTATGGAAGGCCATCCGTCAAGGTCCCCAGTTGATAAATTCTCGGGAAGGCTTCTAAATATTATAATGAATCTACTTTCTGAATGCCTCAGGTGCTTTCACTAATGGCTTTTTGATATCCCACTTAAATATAGTACTTTTCCTTTTAATTTTCAAATTATCTTTGAATTTGCTGGAGTCATAGCATATCTGCCTACAGGAATGAACAAGAAGCCAAACCTAAGCTCTTTAGCCAAATCCTTATTATTAATTGATTGCCTGCGTGCATCCTTTATTGGCTTATTCTTGGTAAAAGCAGGAAAGTGCTTCATTTTATATTTTGATATATTTTTTGGGGTTTTGGGGTTTTGGGGTTTTGGGGTTTTGGGGTTTTGGGGTTTTGGGGTTTTGGG